GGAAAGAACTAGATGCTCCTGTTCTGCCTGAAGACACAAAGACAAATGATGAGCCACTGCTGAAGCAGGAAGATCTTGTGTTAAAAGAACTGGGAAGCTCAGAAAAGACACCAAAACCACTTACAAGATCAACAGATCATGCATTTGCAAATTATCAAACAACTTCTTCTCAGTATAATGCTGTAGTAGGTGGTCTCCCAACAACCTGTAAGTACCATGGACCGTACTTCTCACTTCTGAGCATTATTTGAGACAAAATCAGGAACAAGTTTAAAAAGTATTTCTACAGGTTCTACTAGTGTACAGTAGTGAATTAATTTATCTAAACTAAATTTGTCTAGGATTGTGGCTTGGAAGTTGGCATGGTTTGGATGTTTGGCATGGTTAATCCATTCAAAACATGAAAGTTAACCTAGATGTCTTTGAGAAATTATACTAGTAATTTTAGGAGAACAATATCTTTTTGGAATCACCTAAAAATGTTTTTAGCTGGAAATACTGAATAAGTACTAGAATATTACTGCAAGATTTCCTGTTGTCATGCTTCATGATGTAGCTGAAGCTAGGAATTCTAAAAAATCTGAAAAAAAAAAAAGAGGAATAAAATTATGTAAATTCTTATTGAACTTATGTAAGATGAAGTATCAAATTTGTTCTCATTTCATACAAAATGTTTTCTCCTCCCTGGCACTCTCTTTATATACAGCCTTTTCCATGCTACCTGTTGATTGATTTCCACAGGTTATCCAGTGTGTGGTGTTCCAACTATTCGTTCAGATATTCCTGCTCCTCAAATTCGCCGCATCAGTGACAGAACTAATTATGGTGATGAGGCCAATGCTTATGCATTATTGTTCCCTTCTGTCTTCAGTCAAAAGGGAGTGTATGAAAGTGACTTTTTTAAAACAAGACCAAAGGCAGAGGTATAGTGCATTTCTTCAGAATATTCTTCCAAGATAAATGTACCTCTAGCCTTGTGGGAGTGGAAAGTCATATTATCAAATAAACAGGTTGTAAAATTCATTGTTGCAACATGACCGTCTTTCTTTACATCCATTCAACTGCCTGAAAAATCTATACTCTTCACATTCAAAATTATTCATAAAGGTGGTAGATACTAATTTTATTGAGATCCGACTTCAGAAAGTAATGTAAGTAAGTACGTCAGGTTGTTGCTACTCACGTGCTCAAATGTTGTGTTGAACGAGGGTTGGTAATTAATCTAGGGCTTAAGAGTCTGTGACATCATTTCTGCAATGCGAGAAGAGCAGAGCAGTTGTGAAATTTCCATCCTCAGACATATTCAAATTTGTGAGCAAGGTCCCAAGCAACATGGATTAATGATAAAGTTAGCCCTGCTTTGATTATGTAGTTGGATGGATGGCCTCCAGAGATCTCTTCCAACCTGAGTTATTCTATGAGTAGATGTCTTAAAAAGCCCCACAAGAAGATTTTTACAGGTGTGTAAAACTAGTTTCTGTCACAGAGGGATGTTCAGTGGAAAATTTTACTCAAGGTGTCTCCTCAAACTTGCAGGTTTTGTTAATGGCAAATTCAGCAACCTGCTTGAATATACCTTGTAAGTGTTCTGCTGAGTCGGGGTCGTAGGCTCAGATCTACAAAGGACTTGTACAGTGATAGAGGATATAGGGAGTCATACACCAGTGCGGTGCCATCTCATATTTCTGAACAGAAAGACGGGGCGTGAGACTGTAGGGACTTTCTTGGGGCCTCTCTGATTTTTCCATCTGGTATCTCTGGGGGCTGCTACCACTTTGTTATCTCACAGCCCAGAATTCCTTCCACATAAATACTAAAACAACTTTTCTCCTTCTTCAGTATTGTTTACTCTTTTGCTTCTACATTTGTATGCATTTTCTAATGAAAAAAATATTAAGGGATAACTTCATTACCTGAAATACAATTTATGAGACAATTGTAATGAAATATGAAATTCCAATCTAAAATGAAAAAAGAAGGCTTGACAACCTCTCTCTTTCTACTAGTCATTATATTAAATATTCAGTCACATTTGAAAGTGGATCTGGAACTTGAGTATATATTTTACAGAAAAGAATGTTGCTAATTAGTGGCTGAGAATGTAAAAGGTGTGGTGTCATGTTCTATACATAGCCATAAAACGGCTTGTCAGAATGTCGTGTACATGAGCATTTACCATTTTACAATCTAGCTCTGAAGCAGGAAATCCATGCATGCAGAAGATCGTTAACAGTAGATAGAATTCATGCTTCATTGAGAAGCCCATTATACTTGTCAAGCATTAGCTAGAACTCTTCTCTGAAGTTATAATGTGGCCTGAGATGTCATACTTCATTGTAGACTGTACAGGCTATACAGAGTTCAATAGAGAACTACCTCTGAGTGTGTTAAATCACCCTATACTCACGAAATGGACTGTTTCAGTGTTTTAGTGGTGGTCTTTAATATATTTTGATATGGAGCATTAACATTTTCAAACATGTAATAGCTAATGAAATTATTACATGAAAGCCCAGAGTCATTTAATACTACCAGTTTTTGTATAGGCCTGTAGAAATGAATGCGAATTCTGACTATAAAGCAGTTTCATAAAGTGACTCTTCATGTTACAAAAGAATAAAATAGTTCTGGGATCTGCTGTTTTCTTCACTGGAATTCATCCTAGTCTATTGAAAAGAACAGATGTTATGTAACTAATAGTGTGGAATTTATATTCAACATGATCATGTTGATAATAGGTAAGGGTCAGTTTAACCCCATCTGCACACTTGATAGTCTGTGGTTTAGTCAGTGATTATTTTATGGCTGTTGATGAGCCAGGACAGAGTTGTATTTTGATATGGTGAAACTGAGTTATGAGAGCATGTAGTCCTTTATGGTCCTTGCAGTGGTACCCTGTAATGGAATATTGCTTTTAGTTTAACATTTAAATTTCACTAGCTTGTTGAAGACATTAGATCAAATCTGGTTTGTTTTCCTCATGACTAATATTATTGATTTAACTGAAACAACACCTGTGCTTAAAGAAACAAAATTTAGTCCATGTTTTCCTCCTGTAACTTCAGCTGGCATAAACTGTCAGATTTATTGGCTAAGAGGAAGCTGCAGATTTGATGTACTGTGGATCAGGCCTATATTTACACAACAGACAGTTTTAGAGAAAGATGACAAGGTTGATTTGACTGTGTTGAAGGTCTTATTTTATCAGAGCATGCATAAAATCTCCAGAGCATAAATATAACACACGTGCAGACACACAAGACACAATTGAAGAAGCCAAACGTTTGCTAATACTAGCAAAAGCACAACTCACGTCGGTATTCTTCTAAAGCCACCTTCCTCTAACGAGTCAGAGGTCAGTGTAATGAAGCATGCAGCAGGAAGCATCCAGGTCAGAAAATATGGAAAAAAAAAATTTCTTCTGAATTACTTTGGTGTAAAACTATAGCAAGACCCAAAGTTGATGTGAACCATTTCATTTTAGTCATTTCACCCATTTATCTATACCAATTGAAGATCTTGCGCATAGTATTTTTGCTGTGAAATGCAGAAAATAATATAGTTTATGTTGATAACTGCAAACAGTAAAAATAAAATGGATAAACAGGACTTGACTCAGGACTTTTAAAAAACTTTTACTTTTGCCTGAATCTTCTGTGTTTGATTTTTCCGATGTTGAAGTTACATCAACACTACTTTATTAACTAAAGACGATTTTGTACACCACAGCTTTCGTCCCGATAAGGTTCAGATTTACTTAAATAGAAACTTCTTTGGTTAAGAATGCAGGACGTGGTTTGTAGTTTTTATTTAAGAGTGGGAAAATATTCTTTTGCAAATAGAGATTGCTAATGTATGTAAAAGCCAGACTCTATAATATAGATTAAAGAAAATGCTGACCAGAATTACATGAATTGTATTATTTTGTAGATTGCACAAATTCTCCACAACATTGGTGTGAACATTTCAGATGAAAGGTTTGAAGAGATATGGAAGCAAGCCTGTATGAAATATCAGAAGGAAGAGGTTTGTGTAGAAAGCATCAGGAATGTACTGGATGAAATACATGTATCACACACAAAAACCAGTCGGTAATTCTAGTCTTTGGGCATGGCGTTTACATTTATTTAAATTGACATCAGTCATAATTCTGATGCTGAATACAACAAACATTTTAAATAAAGTGTGTTTACAGAACTGGAATTCACTGTTTATTGTCTTTCTGAATAGCGGGTTCACCACATGTATATGAATCTTTCTGCTATCATTGCAGTTAGTAGGAACTGATATCCATAGGAATGAAAGAGGATATAGTATGTTTGTGAATGGAATTCAAATATTTATCTTATATTCTTTATTTTATCTTTTTTACAATGTTTCTAAGTCTAAATAATAATACTTTTGAGCATGGACACATTTTGCATTTTTTAATTTATTTTTTTCTCATAAACAGAAGGACACCTTTGAAAGTACTTAAGATAAATGTTTCAGATATGCAAGACCTCGTAAAGGTTATTATCATAGAATGGCATCTTGCCTTGCTTCTAATGTTCCATAATTTCTTGTCAACAAAGTGGTAGCTGGCAGAGATCTGGTTGTGGTAATTTATTTGGTATGTTTAAAAATTGGTGTGAGGAAGTGCTTTATAGTAAGATACTAAGGAAACTACATAGTCATTCGTGTGGAATCTAAAGTGGTGTCATGAAATAGATTCCATAAGAACCGATCGATTAAGAAGTGCAAAAATAAATGCCCAATTTAGTGGCAGAGGGCTCATATTCTTAATGCAAGCTTATGGCTATTAGGTAGTAGTGTTCAGCTTTCACAAGCAAGAAAAAAGAATGGATATTTAGAGGTGTATGTGCACATTACATAAAAATACAGGCAAGGTAGTCAGAAGAGTTTGGGAGGCCTTTCAGAGAGCTAACTGTTCTCCTGTGACCAATGCAATTTCTTGGGAAGAGGGATCTTCATACATGAAAAACACTTGAGGATCATTATGGAAATCTCAGTGAATATATATGAAGTCCAAAAACAGTGAACAATGGAAAGCAAGTACTAGTAAAATCTGGAACTACGAGTTCACTCTTCACATACAGTACTGAGCTTGGTATAAAACAAACGGAAATTGTTCAGTATTGACAGTGAGAATGATTACTTTTAGACTTTTTCAAATTAATTCAAAAGAAAAATCCTTGCCCAATGTAATCTTAACATACATGATTTCAGGAAGGATATCCCTTGTCATCTGTCAGTGCTTTAATACCCTAGTAAGATTTGGAGGATTAGATAATGTTGCCAGCCACAAGTTTTACTGAGTTCTACAATGTAAGTAAAGGTTCTGTATATCTTAAATACTAAGAATGCATGAGTAATGACAGCTTGAAATTTCATTGTAACTCTTCTCTCACTTGGCACTCACGTGATTGCTAAGGGTCCTCTTTTGCCAGTGTTCTAGAAGCTTGTAATTTACTAGCTTGTTATGTGAGAGCCACAAGCCAGACCCTTTTGTACATTATTCTTGTAGCATTAATAGTAGCTGTCTTGCATCAAGTAGAAAGAATTTGCTTTCTGGTATCTCCAGGGAGCAGGTGGTGGAAATGCTGCGTTATGAAGGCAGCTTCTTTCCTGCTGTGAAAGTAAGTTGTTCTGCGCCGTTGTTGCCTTGCCTTCCCATCCTTCTGGAACTCTGTGCATGCACTGGGAAGCATGCAGGAAAGCAGATTGTGACTGTCCCATGTGAAATCATGACAGAAAGATGAAAGTACTGCTAATTTCAATTGAATTTGTTATGCCAGGATTTCACTACCTCCGGTGAAATTCTCTAAAGCTCCTCTTCTGCTCGTATAGGGTGGGAGGGAAGAATACTTTACCTTTGTTGCAGTATGCTTCCAAAAGCATCGGACAGTATTGTTTAAAAAAAAAATACATTGTTTTTCTCCTTCAATAGAAAATTTTAGACAAAAGATTTAAGCTCACTTCAGGGAAAAATTAAAAAAAAAAAATCAGATCCGTGTGTGTATATATATTTATAAAAATATATAAAAGAGATCTGTTGTGTTTGTGCAGCAGCTGAAAATTCTGTGTACCCTATTTTTTGAACCTGGTGTAAGGATACCCACTTTCATTCCTCTACTTTCAGTAGAATCTTTCCCTTTGTCAGTGAAATGGAATTAACATTGTTCTTGGACAGTCTGCTAAATAAGTCCAGAATAAAGAAGACTGATAGATCATGGTTTAGTTTTTTGCCAGTATGTTTCTAACCGCAGACTAAATGTTTCCTTTTGAGTTTGGGTTCTAAATGAACTGGAAGTGTTGTTCACCTAAACTTACCTCTTCTGAAGCCTTAAAGGATTAATCACTGAACGGAGCTGTCAATTTTACTTGTAGGTGCTTGTTTTTCATCACAATATACGTATGAGGCCTCTGAAAGATTTAATTGCTGTGACACAGACCGTTACTTCTGTGGAGTTTCTCAGTCTCTTTGTTTTCTTTTGTTAAATGCTTTATGCATACAGAGTCATGGTGCAGATTTTTGTATTTCGTTTCTGTTTGACTTCCCAACATGTATGAATTCAATGACGTATTGATAGGCTTTAGAGCTGCAAGTTGTGTTCTGTGATTGTTATGTTTCCCATCCTATATTCCAATTGACAGAAAATAAAAAGTTTGCTTTCTTCTATATTGCAGTGTGATTGCCTTTGTTTAGGTATGGAGTTGATTTAACTAGGACAGTACACTACCTTTCACTAACCTGTGGGCTGTATCCAAGGCAAAGTTTTCCAGAAAGGGTTAGCAAAACAACCTTCACTATGGCTCAAAAGCCATGTGTTCTAAGAGCAAACATACAGATTTAGCTCCTGAGTTAATTTATTCTGTTAAGTTATATTACAAAATCACAGAGATTGTAAATATATTGACTGAGACTTTGTGGACAAAACTAGTAAATGGCAAATCCTGACAAAAGTTAAATGTTTTGGTAAAAATCAGTGAGTTCTAGACATTTTGGGCCAAATTTTCTTCATAGAATTTTCATAAAAATAGACACTGGATAAAAGACACAGCGCATTCAGATACTTGTGCACTATTTCTCCATGAATCTCTGTTTCACTACAACGATTATTCCAAAGAGTAACATATTTAATAATTACGTGTTTTTAATTGGTTAGGTCAAATGAATTGAACTCCTCTTAAGCTCATCTTAGAGGAGATGTATTGGTTTTCAGGGACAGAGTGGGGACGTCTTCCTTTCTACAGAGGCAGAGGCCGGGGTTTTCTTCTCCCCAAAAGCCGTGGCAGGGACACTGTCTTTCAATACCTGAAATCACTTACATGTAAAAGATAAGGCTGAAGATTTGAATGTGCAAAATTATTTGTTATTAATTCTGTATTTCTGGCTCTTAATCTTTAGAATGTGAGTATTAGCACAGATAAGCATACAGCTAATGACTTATTTGGCAGTGACTTGTGCTATGCAAAGCAGATGTTGGACTTGATTATTCTTTTTACAGTTGTCTAATGGAAAAACTGGTCTGTGCAATGTCTTGTGTTTGAGATGCTGGAAGATCCAGCCCACTGTCTTCCATAGAAATGTACGTACAAATAAATGCAGGCCTTGCCTTAATATTATTACTACATAACTGTCTTAAAAAGGTGGGTGGGTGTTTTTTTTTCAGTAAATTAAAATTACTAAGAATTGCTGGTTTTCAGTGATTTACCTGACTCAAGTAAATTTGCTGGTCCTGGAGCTCATTCTCAGAAGTGAATAGCCAGTTTTGTTTGGTTGGTTGTTTTGGTTTTTAAACAACTGTATGTATTTATTTGGGTGATAAATAGAATGCTAATAACCCTTTATGCTAAGAAGAGTACTTCAAATGGATGTCTAAGCAGAAAAGGAGGTATTGGGGCAAAATGCCCGGAAATATTATCTAAGTCTTCATCTTGCCAACAGATATGAATAGGTAGGATGTTTTTGGAATGGCTTATGCAGCCTAATTAGTTGGTGTTTGCCATTAGGAGGTATTTCTTTGGAAACTGCTTATTTGCATTTGACAGTCTATCATTGGGCACCATCTGCCTGTGTGGTTTCACCTTGCTGAATGGCCAGAATGCTTTTCTAGCAGATGGGTATGTGTTTAGGCATGCCAAAGAACCACTAAATGCTACCTGGTTGAGTAGTTGGGATAGGATCTGTATTTCTTTATTAGTCTTGATATTAATTTTGAAAATGCCAACATACATTATGTAAACCTGTAGGAAAGATTTTGGCATCTTTGATGAGTAATCTGTAAAGGGAAAAGTCGTTAAAACAGTCTTTACTGTGTTCTGATTTGCTAAGATAGGTGCTTGCTGATTTCTGCCAAATGTGTGTGGCCTCTCTGAGCAGACTGGAGTAGACAGAGAACTTGTGCATCCTGCGTCCACATTTCTGACTTCCACATGTCATAACCATGGAAAATTTATATGCCTCGGGACACAAGTATGTGCAGCTGTGTTCTGGAATTGTACTCTAGGAGATTAGGCGGTAAATTCTGTAATACCGAAATAGTAAATCTTTGGTGTATTCTGCGTGTTTTCCAAGCTCAATCCTTATTCCAGTGCCTAGGTGTAAATGAAAATGGCAAAGCCAAGACCTAATCTGAAAAAAAGAGAAGGGCCTGAGTATTACTGACAGATTTTATTCATGTGGCTTCTGTGAAGTATCTCTTCCTCTAGTAACAGGGATCGTGTTCCACATCTTAAAAACAAAATAATCTTGCGTGTGGTGTATACTTACTAGATAAGTTCTACTGCACAATCAGATCAAAAGCAGCCCGAGTAGCTTAAGAACACATACTTCTAGAAATAGCTTTTCTGTCAGCCTTGGAATTTTCTGCAGATTCTAGAAAATGTCAAGTATTTCTGTGAATCTGAGGTGGAACAAAGGACTCAAATAAGAGCAGAAGGCTTTCCAAATCGTACCTGTTAATCATGAGGTGATTTTGTTTTCCCAGCAGTTTTCACCAGATAATAGAGAGAGGCATATGCAATCCCATAGGAATACTTTACTAAAAGTGTCCCCCCCCAGTGAGTGACAAGCCTGAATGCATAACAAAATTAGGGCTATTTTTTTGCTAGTGAGCAGTGAATATAACATAAGAATGTAAAGAGTATCTGTAGAGGGCAGCCCAAAGGTTCTGTCTAGCCCAGCATCCCATCTGACGGTGGTCACGAACATGATTAGGGAGAAGCAGCAGGTCAGGGCAAACATTATGATGTTTCTTCCTAGCAGTCTCCCAGTGCTTCAACCACTTGAACTTCAAGTGGTTGAAAGGAAGGAAGGACCTTTCTGAAAAGCTCATATTTTCCTTATATTCGGTGATCTTAAACACATTTCTCTTCGTGAACTTACCCAGTCTGTGCTTGAAACTTTGTGATACTCTAGCCTCTGCAACATCTTTTGGCAAGGAGTTCCATAGCTTTAGCAATACACTGAACAGAAAAACTAGCTCCTTTGCTTGTTTTAAACCTTCTTTCTGATGGCTTAATATGATGTAAATAATTACTCTGTTTGAAGAAACAACAAACAAATTAATTTCTAGACGCTGTCAGTAATACAGATATTTATAGACCTTTGTCACATCCCTCTTAAGTCCTGGCCAGGGACTGCTTGCCTAGCTATTGCCTGTATAGAAATTATTCCGAAGTATTCTTTCGGCATGTTACTCTTCTCTGAAGTTTTTCTGATTCTGCAGCACATTTTCTGAGATACAGTGAACATGGATTTAAAAGTGGCAGACGGGAGCTTTTTCTGTGTTGTCAGTTTATTTCCCATAATAACAGTATTAGGAATGATTACTTCAAACATGGAGGCAGGGGTAGTTTCAAAGATGTTTTGTACAATTATAGGGCAGCTAACACAGACTGAGTCAGTAAGGCACTGCTGAGTGCAGCAGCCTTGCGATACATAATTGTATGCTTAATGCAAACATGGTCCCCCATGACCTGCTTTGCTGCTATAAATACACTGAGTCAAATGGATTTGATTCCAGTTTGCGTGTTGTTGTGAGACCAGGATTTGGTTCAGTTTATACACCTGGAACTGTCTATGTGTTTTCTTTCATAAAATGCTTTGGAGGTGTTGGATGGAAGATGAAGCCTAAGATTAAACTGGTTTTGCTTTAATAAATAATCGGTTTCAATGCTACCATGGTACATATAACAAGGTAAATTGTTAAGCTGCTAGTGAGAGATGTTTATTATACTTAGATGTAATTCTTCCTCTGCATAAATTCAGCAAAGGGATCTAGCTACCTCTTACATCTATAATAGGCCTTGATTAGTGCACAAGCTTGCGCTAACCCTGTGAAAATAAAGATCAGATTCAGTATATTAGCTTTCTTAAATGCCAGGTCTCTTGATCTAGGGCCAAAGCTAATGCTATCTGCCAGTGTTCTTTTTGTTATTCAGTCGCAGTGGGAGTGTAGAATAATGCTATCTCTGTACTTATTGGTCTTCTTATTCCGGTGGATTTATATGGGTAACAAAATAGCACTCGTAGAATGATTCACTCAAAGTACAGTACTGCTGAAAGCCAAATGTGAATGGATCCCAGACTTCTGATCTCTCAATAAGCATCTCTTTTGAAGTCCTTATATGC